GTATGATAGAAGTAATGTATTAAGTATGTATTAAGGAGTATTAAGTATGATAGTAAAGGTTCACTATTCCGTGTGCTTCACACATACTATCTCAATTCTTACTTCCAACAACCTTTCCAAGTGTTTGAAGCGCTCTTATTGTTCACATTTTCTAGACAATGAAAATAAGTCAGAGTAGATAAGCATTTTGCACGCCCACCCTGCCCCGAGGGGATGACCAATAACTGTTAAGTGGTAGAACTAGGATCGCAATCACTGTGCTATATTCTTTACACACAAAATAGTAAGCTTTTATTACACCTTCTGTGAGAGCCCTCCGTGCTCCACCAATGGACACACATTAAAAACAAACTAACCCATTCTCTAAACCGGGCTTTCTTTTGGATGGGCGGGCGGTGCTTCAGGTCTTTTTAATGTCTTGATTTCACTGGTCTCTTTCAAGAGTGTGACCCATTCATCCATATCCTGCCCAACTGACAGTCACTGCTATAATAAAGGCTATGGCATTATAGAAAGTTGGAAGAAAATGGGACCTAGAAGGTCAGCATATGCAACGTATATGACATGATATCCAGGAGGAGACAGAGGAGGAACAGGTCAAGCAACCTGCCCAGGCAGTCACAGACATTCATTTCAGAACAGGATTAAACAGCAGGTCTCCTGATATCAAACAGATCACTTTTTCCTCCTCCGCTCATTACAAGTCTTTGTGGCTATGATTCTCACGCCCGGAGTAAGACTCCACTAAAATGAATAGTACGAGACAAAGGTGGCCCCTTGTGAATCAGATGAGTTCCAATGGTTCATTTACAAATTGATTATTTGGTAGCAGATACATAGTTTAGTAAAGGAACCACATAAATGGGGGTCAAGGCTCCCTAAAAGTGTCAGTACATGAAGTGGAGTGTCAGTGGTGGGCTTCGGGGCTTTATGATGTTGTTTCTATGGGAACTGCCTTCAGACTGTCTGTCCATCTCTTCTCCGGATATACCTGTTGCCATGCAGCAGTGTGAGAGCTCAGCGTCCCGGGCTCTGGAACTTCCTAAGTCCGTTTCTTTCTCTATAGAAAACAGCACCTCTTGGGCAGTGTCTCGCTGAGAATTTTGAACTGGGGGATGTGGCCATGTGAGCTCTGGTTTTGAAGAGAATGTGCATTCCAGGACAGAGAAGGGTCAAACAAAGGTTTGGTTAAAATAAACTGACAGGAAATCTAAATCAAAACACCTTATGGTTTCAGAGGTTCATCTTGGCTGATTTTCTCCTTCACAGTGCCATAAAAAACCTTATTATTGAAACAGAATCCAGTAAGCCAAACAAAACAAAAATAACAAAACCTTACAGTATAAAGACATGTAAGCGACTTAGGAAATAAGAGAAGTCCTCCTTAAACTTCAAGTTCAAGCTTAGATATGGTCAAGATGACAACTAGTTTCTGTCTGCAAAAATGGTATTTTCAGCAACTATAGATTTTAAAAAATGATCTTGCTTGTAGGCTGTTCCCATGTGTTTTAATGATCTCATTCTTTGTCCAAACTGTGCGCCAGAAGCTCTTCTCTCCCCCATTTAAAATAATGTGTGGATTTTCAGTCAATACAATAAAAACCCCAAAGCCAGAAGAACTTCGTGGATGATCTAGCTCTGCTCCATGCTACTGTGTGGAGGAGTTTTAGATCTAATTATTTTCTTCATTTAATTCCCTTTGGTTTCAAAATTTTAAACTAGGAAGTGGAGTTAATTATATTCATTGTAATATAATCACAGGGGTGTGATGGTCAAATAATTTAATATATGAGATAACACATGATAAAATGCAAACCTTCCTATATACATACTAGTTGCCCACAGAAGTGAGGCAAACTTTCCTTCCATCAGGGGTGCCCACCGCGTTGTAGTACGTTGTGCTACAGCAGTAGCCCACACTGGGGGAGAGTCCCCCGATTCTCGCGTATTTTCAGAATACCTAGGTGTGTGACCTTAGCAAATCAAATAAACTTTTTGTAAAATAGATGACTAAAGAATTTCTACCAAAACTTTGAGATCTAAAAAACAGTATTCCTTTTTTTCATGTGTCTGTTATTCCCCTAGACTACTACTAATCTATAATGCCACTAAAATGGGACCATTTCATCCCTCTGGAGCTCAGTTTCCTTATTGGAGACACCTTCCAGCTTAGATAACCAGTGATTTTAAGAAATCTGTAATGTCATCCACATAATTTGTTGTACATTTAAAAATGAAAATATTCAAAGTAAAAACTAATTGGAGCTTTCACAGAGGTAAGATGATGAGTATAGAAGCTCAAAGAACCATAAATGATTTCTTTTCTAAAAATCCATGCTGCAAAGTTTCAAAAGCATATAAATCACATACAAATTTGAAAGTAGCCTTCACCAACTATTGTTTGATTGAATTTTCAGTCACTTATATCTTTGATTCACTGAAAAACTTAAGAAGATCTAAAAGCCAACACAAAATATATTCTTTAATTAACTTGATATATTACTAAATCATTTTGTTTTCTCAGTCCTATTATTAAACAGAAGATCTTAAACTGTTTAAGGGAAACAGTGATTTATAATTATCAAATCAATTTTATTAGAAACTGAAAACATTTCTGATTCAGACAACACAAATCTTGATTGGTAGCAATTTTTCCTGATCGCCATTTTCTTGACAAGCTTGTGTAACACATCAATTCTTCATATTTCAAAGTTTTATGGACAAGTGGTTTAATTAATATAATATTTCTACACACCATTGTTAAATTCTAGTTTACTTTTTGCATCTCAATACCTGTCACTTCCAATTAAAAATTATAGGAAGGAAGTTATTTCTTGTATGTAATGAAATAGAGGATCAAGTCAACTCATTTATTGCAGTTAACTGAATTTTGTATATGAATAAGAATGCTAACAAAATAACTGAATTACTACCCTGATTATTGGAAATGTGCCATGTCTTATTGCATAAACAGTAATATTCAAAAGGCTGAACTGGCTGCAGCTGATGTTAAATCTGTATTATCATTTTTATATAGGCTACTGCAAAATACAGAGCAATATCGTGGCAGTGGGTTTGTTCTTTGAAAGGTCATTTTTACAGTACCATGATAGAAATAATTTTAAGGAATTATTGACATAATGCATTGCTAATATTTTAGAAAATGTCCCAGCTTTTGAATAAGAATATACTCCTGATTCAGGCAGGGCAGTACTGATCTTTAAAGCTGGATTTAAAGCAAGCAATCTTTTGTCAAAAGCGTCTCTGTTGGGATGTTGGGACCATTTTTCAATTCTAATTTCACCTTTCAATTTTAATGACCTTTGGCAGTCCAATACATGGTGTAGAAAGTAAACCCCCAGTTTGCTTGAATTTCAAATGCCTCACACTTTTGTCTAAAAATCTGTGGCAGTATTTTTTTTTTCTTAAGTTTAAAAGAACCTTCCTGCGGTTTTTACTGCCCTTTTCAAATGCATTAGAGAAGAATGGAAAGACTTAGTGTTAGTTTGAACTTATTTGGCCCCAGGGTTAGAGATGTTTCACTTGGGAGCAGCTTCAGGCCTTGCACGGAAACCAACGCGGGCCTTTTCAGAACCTCTGCTACCCCCACAGCAAGGGATGCTAAAAGAGGAAATGCCTGTGGATTTGGGAAAAGTCTATTTCGTTACAGAATATAAACACTTCAGGTCTCCAGATGGCAGCCTTCAGCGCGTTTGAAAAGCAGTCTCCCTCCTCCTCCGCCACCCCCACTTCTCTTCCACCCCCCACCGCGGCGCCTTGGCAATATAGTATCAGCTACATGTGTGCCCTAGCCTGTGGATGCTGGGTTTTGCTGCTCTCCAAGAATGCGAGTTTAAAGTGTTTATTTCAGTGCCTGATATTCTTGGCTGGAAGCTGCCGAGATGAGCGCTTGGGGAAAGGGGGGGGTGGGATGTAAGGGATGATAAGGTGACCAACATCAAGCCCCCTGTCTAGGAGAGGTGGGGCTGTGCTGGGGTGGCGGGGAGTGGGGGAAGTGAGCCACTTGCATCCTGCGAGCTTCAGCACCCTCTGTTCTGGGTGTGGACGCTCCGCGTCCAGCACAAAGAGCGCAAAAGTCACCTGCCCAGCTGGCAGAATACCACCGGCGCGACAGCTTCGGTTTACCCCCCGAGGTTTATGGGAGTAGAAATAGAAAAATCTGTTTCTCAAATTCACAAAGGACTGAGTCGAAAGGAGCAATGGTAGAGGAGACAGGGGGAGACGCAAACCAGAGGAAACACGTTGCTCCCACCTGGCGACATCTAAGGTGGCGTCCCTGACCCGCTCCGCGCGGGGACCCGGGGGCTGGGTGGAGTCCGGGAGCGCGCGGCCGCAGCTGCTCCGGAGGACTCGCTGTCCAGAAGGGGATTGCAGGGGCAGCTGAGGCGGGTGGGACTGGGGCGGGCCACGGTGTTTCTGTCCCCGGTCTCAGGCGCAGTCTTGGTGTTGGTAGGGGGTTAGGGGCGATCTCCCCATTCCCAGCCCACCTCTACCTCTCCACCCCATCGGCGCCCTGGCAACCTCTGACACTCACCCAGGTCAAGGTGTTGGGGAAGGGGACACTGTGCCCGAGCCCTGCTGCCTCCTATTTTCATCCCTACCTTGGAAGCCGCCGCCCCACCAGGCGAGAGACCTCTCCAGGCTGCCTCCGCGGCCAGTCCGGCTCCGGGCTTCCCGGGGCAAAGCAGACCCCAGCCCCTGTCCCTACAGGCGGGCCGGGCTGTCCCTGACCCGGGTAGCTCCCCCGCGCAGGCCGCACCCAGCCTCGCGTCCCGTGGGACAGCAGGCAGGGACCACCATTTACCAACCGCCCCTTGCACGGCCGGGGCCAGACTTCATTCCAAGTGCCGGGTCCTCTGTCTCGTCCGCGTGAGCCCCGCGCAGACCCAGGCGCCCCCGGGGCAAGTTCATGAGCGACCCAGAGCAAAGAACGGAGTTTAAGGGGCACTGGGTTTGGCAAAGGGGGGAGCGGGTCTTACCTTGGTACGGAGAGCTGAGAGTTGCCATCCATTGTCGATGGGCGCGCAGAGAAGGAAGGCGGGAAGGGCCGGCGATCCGCGGGGCGAGGACCCGGCTCGCAGGGCGCAGGGACAGGCGCGCGCTCGGCCACAGGCTGGGACCGCCGCTGGGCTGTGGGAGATACGCTCCTCCCCGGCCGGGAAGCGCTGCGCGCTGCGACCTCGGAAAGGTCCCTCCCAGTCGCCCCTTCTAATCTGGCTGGAAGGCTTGGCCGAAGCTCCAACCCTTGCGCCCAGCTCCCGCTCCCCTCCGCGGCAGCCCCAGTCTATTGCCACTGGCTCCTGAGCTCTGTCGGCCGCTCCCCGAGCCCAGCACAGGTGACTCCGACAGAATGTCTCTTTCCCCGCCCCGCTGTCTGGTCCTCTCCTCTCGCTTTCTCTCTCGGGTGCAGCAGTCTGAGCCCTGAATCTTTCACCCACTTTGCCACGTTCACTCTCTACTCCTGGCAACTCCCACGTCCCTACTGGTCTCTCACCAGGGCTTGGGTTGCTCCTCTGGATTTCATTTTTGTGTGCCTTCTACCATGAAACAATTCTCATTGATTCCCCCAACAATTTTCCCTGGACTTGGATTTTCCAGTTTTTGGATTTTCACAATTCTTCATCTAACTCATTTTGTTTGACTGTGACTCACTCATCCCTGGCCTGTTAGAAGCCTGTGTGAACACTGAGATCTTAAAACCTATAACAGCGGTCATCCTTTAGAGGCCAGCACCCAGGCAGACCCTGGAAGGAAGGACTGTCACAAAAAGGCCAAACGAAAATGCCTGCGTCAGTATCTCCCTGAACAAACAATAACAGTTATTTTAAGAAGAAAGACATTGATAGTAGGAAGGCACTGTTAAGATGAAGGTGCTGCTGACCCTGATCCTTTTCCATTAAAAAACACATTTTAAAAAAAGGACGTTGACCAATTTCATTCTGAAATGTAAATTATGAAACTATAGCACTTTTTAGTATAAAACTTAGGAGCAAATCTTTGGGAGCTAGGGCTGGGCAAAAGTTCTTAGACTTGACAACAAAAGCACAGTCCATAAAAGAAACATTTGATACATCGGACTTCATTGAATTAAAAAAAAAATTGGTCTCAGAAACACTCTGTTAAGAGGATGCGACAAACAACACACTGAAAGAAAAATATCCAGACAAAAGACCCGTATGTAAAATATATGTTTAAAACCTCTCAAAACTCAATTGTAAAAAACCAAACAATCCAACTAGAACATGGGCAAAGGACAAAGAGACATTTCCCTGAAGACGATTTACAGATGACAAATAAGCACATGAAAAGATGTTCAACCTTATTATCCACTAGAGAAAAGCAAATGAAAACCACAATGATATTTCTCTATACACCGATCCGAATGACTAAAATCAAAACTAGTAACAAGACCAAGTGCTAGTGAGGATGCAGAGAAAAACAAGCGTCTCATCACTCATTCATTCCTGGTGGGAATGTAAAATGTAAAAGTCACTCTGGAAGAATTTTGGCAGTTTCTTAGAAAAACTAAACATGTCAGAGCCACATGATCCAGCAATTTCACTCCTGAGCATTTATCTCAGAGAAACGAAGACTTATGTTCCCATTAGTTTTACTTGAATGTTTATAGCAGTTTTATTCAAAACAATAATAATAAAAAAACTAGAAACAACACAGATGTCCTTTGATGGGTGAATGGTTAAACAAACTGGTATATTCATTCCATAGAATACTACTCAGAAATTTGAAAAGAACAAACTGTAAATATAGACAACAACCTGGATGAATTGCTAGAGAATTATGCTGAGTGAAAAAAAAGCAATTCCAATGGTTGCACTTTGTATGATTGTACTTATATAACATACTTGAAAGTACAAGATTATAGAAATGGAGGGCAGATTAATTGTTGCCAGGGAGAGGCTGGGATCAGGAGGGACGTAGGTGTGGATATAAAATGGCAACAAGAGAGATCCTTGTGGTCATGGAAATATTTTACATCTTGACTATACAAGGTCGGACAATTAAGTTTGGGAACTCATTCTAGAAAAAGTGCTGCCTACCTCATTGCTGAATATCACTATGGTCACCTTAGAAGTACTCCCCTTGGGAAGCTATGCACTGATGCCAGCATCTAGTCCACCCTTCAAAGCAACTTTGAAACTCATTTTCTGGAATGGCCATTAGAGTTGTCATCATATTACCCTTGATGTCGTGACTGTCATCAAAAGGTCTTATTTTCAGTATTTCCTTTATCTTTGGGCAAAGAAAGAAGTCATTGGGGGCCAGATCAGGTGAGTAGGGAGGGTATTCCAATACAGTTATTTGTTTACTGGCTACAAACTCCCTCACAGACAGTGCCGTGTGAGCTAGTGCGTTGTCATGATGCAAAAGCCATTAATTTTTGGTGGAAAGTTCGGGTCATCTAACTTTTTCATGCAGCCTTTTCACCACTTCCAAATAGTAAGCTTGGTTAACTGTTTCTCCAGTTGGTACAAATTCATAATGAATAATTCATCTGATATCAAAAAGGTTAGCAACATCATTGCAACAAGTTCATGAACTTAATTGTGAGACCTCGTATATATGTGAATATATATTCACATATATCTTCTTTTTTTAAATTTTATTTCGTTTTTTTAATTTTTTGTTTATTGGGGAATTGGGGGATGGGAACAGCGCTGGGGAATTGGGGGAAGGGGAACAGACAAGTTGCTGTCCTTTGGTTCTTCAGTCTAGTTGTGGAGGACGTTGCTTCACTGGCCCGAGTTGGCACCATCATTACACTCTTCCCAGGTAAGGCAGATCAGTCGCCGGCTTCTGGACAGCTGCTCACAGTGGCTGCTGGCCGCTCACACTGGCTTCTGGCTAAACATGGTAGCCCATGGCAACCCACTGCCACAGGGGCTGCAGCCTACGCCATCGCTGTTGCCAGCGACTCATGGCAGCCCAGCTCCAGGTCGAGCTGTTGTTCAGCATCTTAGCTGTAGAGGGCAGTGTCACTGGCCCTCATATGTGGAATCCGAACCGGGGCCCTCTGGCGTCCCAAGCCAGCTCTTAACCAATATGCCACTCGGCCGACCCTATTTACATATATCTTGATTATGATATTGTGCTACAGTTTTAGCAACATGTTACCACTGGGGTAAATTGGTGTTGGAGGAGGTCATAAAGAGGACATGAGTTCTGGGTGACCCTGGAGCTGGCCCCTGTGAAGCAGAGGCTTTTCACCCCGCCCTTGTCCTTGGAATGTGCACCCTGCTTGCCTTCCCCTCACTAGAAGCTGCCGCAAGGACGCAGCCTTGAGATAGTGAGCTATTGTTGAGACCATCTGGACTGAATCTGTGGCTGAATCCCATTCAGGCCTCTATAGAAACTTTAGGAATTCTGGCGGGACGGTGTGGAGATCTACTCATCTTTAGCCATCCAAGGCAAGCCTTGTATTTAAGCTCTCTTGTTTATTCAACCTCCCACCTACCAATCTGGAATGGGTCTGCCTCTTTCTTTGGTCTCTCATTGCACTCCGTGTAACAGGGGCCAGTTTCAGATTTCACTCGGGAAGCTCATGAGGGTTCCATCCAACAGTTGGCGAGCCAGCCAAGAGATCCAAGAAATGGGCCTTGGGAAAGAGGCATCCGAGGGGGATATCCTGAGTTAGCCACAGACCTCTATGTGGGGAGAGAGGTGGTCCTTATGTTAGATGATTGTGGACTCCTGCATGAGTACCGGTGCTCTCCAAAACACCAGCTGATCTAATTTGCTTGTTTGAGGAACTACACAGAGTGCACTGTGGCAAAGAAGGGAAATGAAAGGCTGATGCAGTGGGCTGGCCTCTACTGTGGGCAGCTAGGCTGGCCACTGATGCCCAGCTAGAGCTCGAGTTAGAAAATTGGAAGAAGAGCTGAGGTTAGAGAAGGACTCTGCTAGCTTCAGGGCTGGCGGGCAAGGTGGGAGAGCAGGATGGTACATTGGAGACCTTAGCATGCCATTTTGCAAAGCTGGGAGGGCACAAGGTGCCCCGGGTTAAGGTCCAAGTGCTTGTGACAAAGCCTGATGGGGATGCTAAGAGCTGGGAAAGTGATAACAGTGAAAACAGTGAAGGGGAAGATGTTGTGATGATTGACAGTACAAAGGATAAAAATCCCTGTGTTTTCCAACCCCTAAGAGAAAGAAAAGCAAAGCCACAACAACAAACCCAGCCAGGGAGACAGCCCCCCATTCAGAAAGCATTCATGATGAGAGACTGTACTTCCACTGAGCTTATGAGCTTATTGATATAGCTGCCAAATTCCAGCAAAAGGCCAGAAAAAGTACTGAGGTATGGTCACTGCACGTGTGTGTGTGTGTGTGTGTGTGTGTGTGTGTCTGTTGCTGGTGGGGCAATGGCATTTTTCTGTCTGGGTAGGATGCGGAGATATTGAGCAACATCACCACACACCTGGCCCCCCAGCAGCACCTGGATGGCACTGGGAATTGGAAGGGCAGTGGTTCAAGGTACCAACTCCCTCATAGATTGGATTACTCTATGCTGCAGGGAGGCTTGGCTCAATCAGGGGATTTTCCCTCAATGTGGGACCCTGGAAACATATAGATTGTTTACAATAAATTCTTTGGGAGTTAGACATGCCATCTGTGCCCTTGTCTTTGAAGGCCCTTCTGGCTGATAGTTAAGAGACAAAGAAAATATCTAATGCAAAGTCCCAAAAACTTCCTGATTACTGAGACTCAGTCTTAATTTACAAAACAAAGTGGAACAGTTTTGCATCTGCAATTGCAATGATCACTGCACCTGTCAAATAACTAAGCAATGAAGTTCTAGAAAAAAATTAAGTGGAGACATTTGTAACTTTTTTGCATCATGTTAAACAGTGAGGAAATTTATATATATATTTTTTTTTTAAATAGAGAATATGGCATCCAAAACATTAGCTGACTGAAAATTTCCTCCCCAATTTCTTAACTTTGCCAGGGTTCTCAATTCTGGTGCCTGTAGCACTGCTGTCCCAAATGTAGGCTCCTACCAATTATGAGAACAGGAAGGGGGAGGGGCCATCAGGCAGATGGTGCTGGACGGTGGCCATCAGAAGTTGAGCTCCTGAGAGTGGGTAGGGCTCCAGGTGCTGTGTGTGTGTGTGTGTGTGTGTGTGTGTGTGTGTGTGTGTGTTTTATATAGTCTCACAACAGAGGCAGAAATCAGTTGGTTTGGTTTAGATTTCTGGAATGAATCTGAGAAGTTAGAATGTGAGGATTATGAAATTCCAGAACAAAGATTCAATGGGAGTCTTTGATAGAGAACGTGAAGGGATAATGCACAGAGCCTGCGCAATTCCTAAGAGTGCATGCAAATGACCAAGGTTCACCTGCGTTGGCATAAGCAAGCGACCACTTAGCTTTGAAGTCTAGAAGGGGAGCAAGTGAGGTGTGAGGTTTATTTAACAACTTAAGAAGTTTGGAAATCAATAGTCAGTGTCCTCAAAGGCAGCAGAAAAATGGGGAGAAGCCCCCACAGAGCCCAGCTATGGCTACTCTTGGTGTCTGCAGTAGCATTGGTGATATCGATCAACTCAGCAAGACAAGCCTCAATGATATCAACTTAATGTGATCCGCATTCAACTTTAACAGTAAATATGCACCTGGCCACATTAACTTACA